CCTATTCCCTCCGGTGGAAGAAAGGAAAAGGGGGGGCGAATCCTACTTGGACTAGGAGTCCAAGTAGGACTCCCCCCATGGCGCACCCCTCTTGGCCGCCAGCCTCTCTCGCCCCTCCTTTATATACATGGCCAGGGGGCACCCCAAAGACACAAAAATTGTTTCTTAGCCGTGTGCGGTGCCCCCCTCCATATTTTACTCCTCCAGTCATAGCATCGTAGTGCTTAGGAGAAGCCCTGCGCGGATCACATCACCAACACCGTTGCCACGCCGTCGTACTGACGAAACTCTCCCTCGTCCCTCTACTGGATCAAGAGCTCGATGGACGTCATCGAGTTGAACGTGTGCTGAACATGGAGGTGTCGTACATTCGGTACTTGGATCGATTGGATCATGAAGATGTCCGACTACATCAACCGCGTTAACATAACGCTTCCACTTTTGGTCTACGAGGGTACGTGTATACACTCTCCCCCTCTCGTTTCTATGCATCTCCTAGATAGATCTTGCGTGATCGTAGGAATTTTTTTTGAATTTGCATGCTACATTCCCCAACAGCGACCGCCGATGACCATCATGGGAGAAGGAGGAGGAGGAGGAGGAGGAGCAGGGGCATCAATGTGTTGTCGACATTTCCCATGCAGGAGGCGAGTGTCGGGACAGCGGGCAAAAGCAGGACTCTCGGTGAAGCGGGAGCAGATGCTTGCCGGTTGCTACGGGTAAGTTATATCTGGGAACTTTAGTCCCACATCACAGATTTAGTTGGATTTCCACTGAGTTATAATTGTTTCCTTAAGCAAGGGTATCCCCAAGCAACCATAAAAAGGAGTCAGTAACATATACGGTCTAGTATAGGGTACCGTACGGTAGTTGGTATAGTAAGATACAGTCTTAAGGTTGTTGGCAGGGGCTCAGGTATAGGGGGAGCTATGAACTATAGCTTTATTTGCCAATATATTAGAGTGGCCTATTTACAAAGGAAAATGATGATATTATATCCCTAGTATATCTTTACTAGATGTATAGGAACGTGGCCACTCTCTAGTTATGTTATATATCCCTGGTATATCTTTGCTACATTCTGAAACCAAAGCTTTACAGTCGGTACAATAGCCAGCCCTGTAGTGTTGTTCTTGTAGTTCCAGTTTCAATTTTGCAAAGAAGAAATCTAAGTAGATGACAATTAATATTTGTGATGCTTATTTGATGAAGCTACCAAGATAAATTTACTAAACTATGTGTGTTATTATTTATGTTTGGATGCATCCGTCATGAGGATTAGCTGATGAATATTTTGTTTCTAGAGTTTAGAGAATACTAATTTCTGTTAGTGGGCCTCCAATTTGTTCCCTGTGTGAAGCTTAAAATGATGGAATAGGGAATCTGTGTTGTTGGTATGAACTCTAAACATGAAAGTGTCTTATGTATTGTTAACTTCGATGGTCCGTAGAGAAATGCTATCTACTTGGGCTACTTGGTTGATTGGCTTGCCAAAAAATTGATGCATTGGTTGAGTAGGCAAGCTTACAATATGTTTCTTGTTAGGTGCTTGAGATTTGCAAGGACAAAAACCTATTCACATTTTCCTTGTTGAAGTAATTTTCTCGAAATGTAGCTCTGCATCATTCTATCATACATGTATTCTAGAAAAATACAAGACATCTGAGTGGCCCAATGGTTGTTAACCCTCATTAGGATCCTACATGGACGAATCTAATCATGCAATTCATTAGATAGGTTCATAAAATTTTGTAGCTGCGCATCCAATGAAGCACTATGTTTGGTGTTGCTTTCTAGATTTTCTTACCTTCCAGAATTAACAGTCCCACATGTCCATTTTAATTTTACCCTCCTACCGATTTGCATTGTTCATAACATGGATCATATTATTTTGATATATTGTGTTGTTGTTTCCATGTGAAAACATTAATGTTTTTCATAAATGATGAAGCTTCTACAGTTCATTTTTTGTATTATTAAATGTTGAAGTTGTGTTTCCTGTTAAGTCGCCAATCCTGTTGTTGCACCAACAAAAACATAGGATAAGGTAAGTCATGGACTCTGATCCTTAGAATTTAGACACTTGCGGACTATTGCTCCAAAATGCACACCCCGCGGGGTCACATACATTGTCTGTGCTTGAAGAATGTGTAGAACAGGATCCCCGACACCATGAAGAGGCTCAAGGATGCAAGTTAGATTTGCCAAACTACGATGTGGAATGCATATACCAAAAATACTAGTAAATACTTATGTGCAACATACAAGAACGCCATTAGAGCAACATGTATGTATGTACCTCTCCAGTCGGCATGGACGTACACGTTAGTGGTGGTGAGGTTTTCTGGTTGGAGGATGTACATAAAGAGAGTGATATTTTTGGCGTCTCTACGTCTCAAGGTAAGTTGGCATGCTCAAAAGCATCCTTTTTTTTCCTCCGCATCCTCTTTATGGCACATTTGTTCACAATGCTTGCACGCACATAACAAATGAAAAGACAAATGTCCTAAAAATACATCACAAATTTTCTTCATAAGTGTTTTTGCAAGTTCCAACGTGCTTCCTTGGAGAAGATGAAGAACATAAATTTTTCTAAACACATGACATGCCTGCATAGGATGATCAATGACGCAATGTAAGTCCAGCCCAAAACCATAAGGAAATCAATGAAGGACAATTCTCGGTTTTTAGTTTTTAGTCCTTAGTACCCCTAAGAATGATTTTGAGTTATTCTAAAGATCAGTGCACAACTATCAGTTGTTAGTCTCCATTCATTTGAGTACTTTCTTGTTTTAGTATACTTGTCATTCTTGAGATATCATTCATACTAGTTTGCATGTACCAAGATATCATTCATACTAGTTTTTGTTTCAGTGCACAACTATTAGTTGTTAGTCTCCATTCATTTTGAGTAGTTCTTGTTTTCGTATACTTGTCATTCTTGAGATATCATTCATACTAGTTTGCATGTACCAAGATAGTGTGCCAGATATGCATGTCGAACCACACTAACAGTAACTCATTGGGTTTACCATTTGGGCCCTGTAGGGTGGGCTGAGGGTTGGAAAGCCCGGCAGGGTAATGGGTGGTGTGGAGCTGAACATTGAGACCAAGTGGGATCCGACCTGAAAGCCAAATGAAATCAGATGAATTTCCTTACAAACAGAGGAATGAACTCAACTCAAAGCAACAGATACACGTGTAAATTTGTCATTGGTCAAAAGATGACCTGGAGCAAAATGAAAAACACATGTCTGATGGTTATATTACACACACCCATCCTAATATTCCAATTGTCCACATATGTCTTGTTCTCCACCCACCTCTAAGAGCGTCTCCAGCAGCATGTGTATATTTGGTTTTGCATATATATCCATATAAGCAATGGTCAAAAAAGATTTCTTTTTTCTCTCCTTTATTTCAACACATCTTGTAACTATCAATTCAACTATTATGATTCAAATGGTTTGTAGTTGCAAAGGTTATAATGCTAACAACTACTTTTCAAACAACTATATTTTTAGTGGCTAGTTTTCCGACGGCTATCTTCCAACGGCAAGTTTTCAACGGCTATATTACATGCCTATACATACCAACCCTCCCACCTATCTCTCAGCACTCCTGAATCCACCTGTCTTGTCTCCCACGACACAATGAGTGGATGTGGATTCGTTTTGGATATGCTCATGGTTCATCGACGTCTTCATCCAACGATGACAAACTCATCCTTGCAGCATTCGCAAAGGAGGGGGGGAATGCTCAACGCCAAAGCGGTTCCTAGCCGAGATATCAAACTCTGGATTGCGGAAGATATGCCAGATTTCTCACAGTGCGAGGACTACCTCAAACAAAACCCTCGATATCCATAAATTATTTTCGACGAAGGATGGTTATCACTTTGTTCTTTATTTGCCTATTTTTACCCCCTTCCCGGTTAAGTTTTAACAAGTCAGCCGGACCAAGCCTTTGAATCAAAACAAGAGGTTTGTTCGGATGAAGAGATATTTTTGAAGTTGGAACTTGAACCAGTTCGAAGCTTGCTTTGAATCGCTTTTCTGCAACACTACTACTACACATGTAATCATTTTAGAACCGCTATTGGTTAGGTGCCTGATTTTCTTTGGCGTCAATCGAATTTTGGAACCTGCCGACATTATATCATTCTTTTCTTCCTCCCTGCTTCACCGACAACGTCGGCCTAATCGCCAGCTCCCGCCTCCCACGACCTATGACGCTCGCGCTTGCCACCTCTCCCCGCCCTTCCCTTAACCGCTGTTCACTACCATGTTGTCGCTGCTCCAGCCATCCTTCTAACACCCCCGCCCTCGGTTTCTCGAGCCCGACGATAACCCTTCACCCCCGACCCAAACAGTCAACCCTCGGAGACACTCACCATCGACGCCATGGCGAGCACTGGCCCTCGCTCACTCGTGGCTCACACTCATTGTGGAGTCCATGACCGGCCCTCCTCATGTGCGGGGCAAAGCCAAAATCGACAGAATTCTCAGCCGCCTGATGATTAGCAAAAGATTAATATTTTTTCGCACAAAATAATTGTGACGAACCAAATCAGCCTTTATTATAACTTTAACAATTGAAAGTATGCGCTCTCCCTTTTTCAGGAAAAGAACAGCATGTCCTTACTCATGCTCTTTTCACCTCACTCGGTTGAATCAAAACATCAGTTCTTAGACACGAAATCGCCGTTTTCTAAAAGGCACGTGAGTAATTTCGGCAGCGGAAACAGAGACGAAATCAGCAGGAAGCCAACAGAGACCGGCTCCAGTCAACTTCGCCGTGCTCGTCAAGTTTCTAGAAAAATATGTCGTGCTCAATTAGCTCACTCCGTTGGTATATAAAAATGGCGACGCAGCAAAGATGTCTCCCATTCCAAGCTGCCTACCGCACACACTAGCCGCGAGCAGTACCATCACTACTGGCCAAAACGTGACCCCCTCCAGTCAACTTCCTCGTCGCCACCACACGACCGCACCTCTCCCATGGCGTCCTCCTCGCCGCCGCACGTCGTGGAGGACGTGCCCCCGTTCCTGCAGCTCCTCAGCGACGGCACGGTGATCCGCTTCACTGACGCCTACCCGCTCCCCATCCCGTCGCCGCCGCCCGGCCAGCCCGTCGTCGACTGGAAGGACGTTCTGTACGACGCCAGCCACGGCCTCAAGCTCCGCATCTACAGGCCGGCGGCGGCCTCCTCCTCCGGGAACAAGCTCCCGGTGATCGTCTACTTCCACGGCGGCGGGTACAGCATCGGTAGCTTCGACATGCCCAACTTCCATGCGTGCTGCGTCCGCCTCGCCGGCGAGCTCCCGGCTTTGGTGCTCTCTGCAGACTACCGCCTCGCCCCCGAGCACCGCTTCCCCGCGGGTCTCGACGACGCGGCGAACGTCGTGTCCTGGGTGCGCGCCCAGGCAGCGGCTGTTGGGGACAACGCCGACCCATGGCTCTCGGAGACGGCGAACTTCGGCCGGGTGTTCGTCGCCGGGGACTCGGCCGGCGGGGGCGTCGTCCACCACACGGCCGTCCGCCTCGCGTCGGGCCGGTTAGGCCCCCTCGACCCCGTTCGCGTCGCCGGGTGCGCGATGCTCTGCCCGATGTTCGGCGGGGAGGAGAGGACGGCGTCGGAGGCGGAGTTCCCGCCGGGCCCGTTCCTGTCGCTGCCGGCGGTCGACCAGGCGTGGCGCCTGGTGCTGCCGCCTGGGTCCACGAGGGACCACCCGCTGGCCAACCCGTTCGGCCCGGACAGCCCGGCCCTTGACGGCGTCGCGCTGCCTCCGATGCTCGTTGTGGCCGCCGCGCGCGACCTGCTGCGCGACCGCGCCGCGGACTATGCCGCGAGGCTCAAGGCCATGGGGAAGCCGGTGGAGCTCGTGGAGTTCGAGGGGCAGCACCACGGGTTCTTCGCGGTCGAGCCGTACGGCGACGCCGGCAGCGAGGTGGTCCGGCTCGTCAAACGGTTTGTCTACGGCAACGGCGGCGCCTCCGACTAAATTGGAGATCGAGCAAAGCTGTTGAGGGCTCCTTTGATTCAAAGGATATCTTTAGAATTTTTGGAGGATTGAAATTCTTAGGAATTTTTTTTATATTGACCCTTTGATTCATAGAATTGGATCCTATAGGAATTTATCCTATGGAATCTTTTGTATTACATTTCATAGGAAATCTAACATCCACTTCAACCTCTTTTTACATTTTCTTTGTTTTTTATGTGGTATCAAACACTCTTTGTTAATCCTATAGGATTCAAGTTGACATGCCACTGCAATTCTATATTTTTCATATTCCTACATTTTCAAAATCATGTGAATCAAAGAGGTGTACGCTGCCTTGTGGAGTTCGAGTGGAGTCACATTTTGTTTTGGACACTCGTATGTCATACACCTCAAAATACAAAGATGCCATAAACTTAGACATATTTTTTTCTCTACATTTGATTTGAATGTATTGCCAATTTATTAAGGATTTAGTTACAAATCAAATGTCAGATTTTTTTAGCATGAATAATCATACGTCCAAGATGACAAATTATGTTGCCGCGAGCAGTTTTCTTTAACAAACATGGCAAATATGTTTTTTTTGTTGCCAGGATTTGTCTTGCTTATTTATACTATCATTAAACAAGCAAAAATATTCATTACTAAGTGCACACATCCTTATGTACACACAACAACACGAATCAATTACAGCCTCACGATCAGCGACACTTAATTTAATCTAACCGTTAAAATTATATTAACCCACGTCAAAAGTGTGTTTAGCCATTATCTAGGCGGACGAAAACTCTGTCGAGAAAGTTCCCCGCCCCGCATCCGTTCGTGTATCTATATCTATACTACTATTAAACAAGCAAACATATTCATCGCTAAATGCACACAGCCTTACGTACACACAACAATACGAATCAATTACAGCCTCACGATCAGCGACACTTAATTTAATCTAACCGTTAAAATTATATTAACCCACGTCAAAAGTGCATTTAACCATTTGTCTAGGCGGACGAAAACTCTGCCGAGAAAGTTCCCCGCCCCACATCCCGTTCATGTATCCTATAAACTAGGAAACAAACACCGCGAGAATAAATAAGACGTTTGAAAAAGAGAAAGAAAATAACTACCATGCATGCGGAGGAGCAATCGGTGGAAACTTACCACGCCGGAGAACAGGGTCGCATGCATCAGGTAATTATTGTGCTCCCGCTAATCAAGGTAGAAAACAAAGAATCTATACTACTATTAAACAAGCAAACATATTCATCACTAAGTGCACACAGCCTTATGTACACACAACAACACGAATCAATTACAGCCTCACGATCAGCAACACTTAATTTAATTTAATCGTTAAAATTATATTAACTCACGTCAAAAGTGTGTTTAACCATTTGTCTAGGCGGACGAAAACTCTGCCGAGAAAGTTCCCCGCCCCACATCCCGTTCATGTATCCTATAAACTAGGAAACAAACACCGCGAGAATAAATAAGACGTTTGAAAAAGAGAAAGAAAATAACTACCATGCATGCGGAGGAGCAATCAGTGGAAACTTACCACGCGGGAGAACAGGGTCGCATGCACCAGGTATGTATTGTGCTCCCGCTAATCAAGGTAGAAAACAAAGAAAATTAAAGCAAAACCATCTTGGATATTCGTCCTGCAAATACGATGCCTTAATACGAACAAAGGCGTGGCCCAGCGGCTCTTCACGTCCCTCACCGGCGCAGTGAACATGTTTGCCGCCGACGTCCGCGCTGCCATGGGCAGGAGCCCGGACCGTTTGCGCTACTGGCACGCCTTCTCGACATGGTATTCCACGGCCGACGCGGTAAAAAATGATCTCTTCATTCAATTGGGCAAGAACCTTTCCGCCGCCGTTGAGGAAGTCTTCAAGCTTCTCGGTCATGCATGTGATGCCTTCTCCTCCGGCCCCTATGACGCCGCAGCCGTCTCCCATCGTGCAGGATTAGTTCCGATCGTGCCACTCGGTGATGCCGCTCGCGCCCGAGGCGCCGTCGTCTGTCCGGCGAAAAGAAGAGTAGGTCTCGGCCGGCGTGCATGCAGAGAAACCTGTATGGTCAGACGAACTCAGACCGCCGCCGTAATCACTATAGACATACGTCAGTACGTGTACGGCTCCTTCCATGGCACACGGAATCTTTCCTCGAGGGCAGGAGGCTCGCCAGGTCGGCCATGCGGCACGCGCGCATCGTCGATGTCGTCGGGACGGATACAACACCTTCAAGCTATACTCCCCCTCTTCGTCTTCTCCATCTTCATTACAGTGGAATCTACTCCCTCTGTACCGAAATAGTTGTCGCTGGAGTAGCTGAAGTTCAGCTACTCCAGCGACAACTATTTCGGTACAGAGGGAGTAGATAGCTGCACTAACGTGTCCCCGGTAGCCCCGCCTCCATGTCTGGTGAGAAGAAACCCTACAATATGCATGCATCTTGTCAATCCCCTCTTATATTCTCAGCCATATAGCAACGTTTGAGGCAGGAACTACAATTACTTTAGTCAGTGGGATCTATTATGCGAGCGAACGGACATGCCATAGGGCACACGTGAGTCCCCTGGGTGCTCTTTGTATCACTATTCTTATTTTTCTGTTGGTTCTAATATTCTTGATCCTTTTCGCAGGATAGTACCGTACATGTTTGTGATACTTCTATCTACTAATCTTCTTGATCCATTTCTTGTTGTGGGCAAAATGAGTTGAATTTCTTTAGTTCAAGGTTTGTTTATTGCTACCTCCTAATAGCTGTCCAATTCCTGGTAGAGGTAACTCTTTTTGTTGTATCCGGGCACGCCCTGCGAAGACTAGCACATTGTGAAATACTACCTTCGTCAAAAGATACATCCGTTTCGGTGACAACTAATATGGGACGGAGGGAGTATAACCCATCTGTGTGTGTAACCTTTTGAGAAAGGGAGATAGAAGTTTATAGTGACACAATTGAAAACTACAAGAACGTATTGCCAAGAAGAGCATGTTGTGCAATATAACAAAGAGTACACAGTTATGTGTTTGGAGTTCTTAGGGGAGGGGGGGGGAGGGGTGGCAAGCAAGGGGGGATATTGAGCTGGATGGACATTTGTCAGCAGTGACAAACTTAGATTGAGGATGTGACGAGGTGCATATGCAGGATACATCGCAATGCATGGGCAGCTAACTTGATCTGCTATAAGTGTGAGTAATCTCATTTGAATACATTACCATCCATTCAATAGATTTGTACTCACTTTATTGTTCGGCATAGTTGAATTGTCTGTGTTAAAAATGCATATGATTTTATTTTGTATGCTCACCCTAGATGCCACCACACAATTACAACTTATAATAACCGGTTCTTTTAGAATTAAATGGAAGTACATACTGATTTCAGCTTCTATGTAAATGTTTGATAGATTCCCCTTCAATCTGAATCACAAGAAATGGAGAGTTCACCTAGAGTCCGTGGAAGAAATCTACATGCCATCATGAGGAAAGAGGGAACAACCTGGTATGCGATACCGAAGAGTGTAGATTGTATTCTATTATCTTCTTTAAACAGGTCTTTTTTTGGGACCAATTTATGTTGCATACTGAAACTGTGTTCTATAGTATAATCATGTTGTTCTAAGAAGTATCAAGCTGGAATTAAGTTGTCGACTGACTTGATATGTGTAACAGTGGGGGTTTGGATGATTAATTAGTATATTTAAGCCCAATGATTCAATGTGTTCAACAATGGGGTTTTGGAGGATTAATTAGTAGATTTAATGTTCATTGTTTACTACCTATAGATACTGAATGGATGAAACAATATATTATTATTTTATGAGGCAATGTGACCACCATGGTGTGCAATTTACCTAAGAATACATCCTAAGTGATATTTTTCTCGGACGTGCGGTGCACATGCCAGCTTACTAGTTAAAGAAATTTACTATCCTCACGGCAACATAATTCGACATAAAAACATTAAATTTGGTGAAATGCAGCTGGTGGTTCCTGATCCGTCACTATTCTAGATCAAACATTTTTCTTAGTGTTTTGGTGAGTTGTTCTCCATAGATCCAACAATATGTGTTTATTTCTTAATTGACTTATTTCTCAGATCACAATAACAAGCCTCTCAATTCGAGCTCGCTTTTTGGGTTGTCTCTGGATCAAGCCTTGTATCTAACTGTAAGTTCTCTTCTGCTCACAAGCTCAATAGTAAAATCTGAAAAGTTTGAAAATGATTCAAGAAAAATTCTGAATTCTTTTTGGAAAACTTTGATAAACGTTTAGTGCTTGCAAAGTCTCATCATAGAATGACAAATCGTGGACGTCAGTGACAAAAATATCAGCACTAAAAAATGCTTTTGAAAATTGCATTTTTGGAGCATCAATTTTTTTTCATGACTTCTACAAATGTCATTCCATGATGAGACTTTGCAAGCACTCGAAACATTTCCAATGCTTACCATAAAGTTTTTTTTAATTTTGTTTTCAGAATTTTCAGATCTTATTGTGGGCCTGAGCTCATTTGAGCTGGAGCTAAGAAACATCATGTCCCAAAGAGCATACTCTTCCTATCCAACGTCAAAACTAACTCCGGCAATGCCTCCTTCATTGTCGCCGTTCACGGTGCAATAGTCACGTCGACGGTAACTCTACTTTATTACCCAAACTCTCGCACGAGATTTCTTTCCTGTACCCGTTGTCGACAACTTTGCCTCATCATCCACCCCACCTATTGTACATAGTAAAATACTACATCAAACTGCAAAAACGTGATGCCATGAACACAAATACTAGGATGAAAGCATCCCCACTAAAAAAAAATACCCAATTGATAAGTGTCACACGTGTAGCACTTAGCAACTTGGGCCAAACGCATCTATCACCGTCCATCACGAGTCACGATTTTTAAAGCAGTGAGACAGTGCCAGGTCACTTTTGCTAGTGTTAGGGCCGAATGGTCTCGCGACCAAACCAGTTATTTGGTCCCACATCTCGATGCCT